TATGATGTTTCTTTGTTCTTGAGGTTGTATTTGTGAAGTTGCTTGGGTTTTAGGTGGAGATATTTTAGTATGTTGTGAGCCTGTAGTTCTGTTAAGGTTTTTGCGTTGCGGTTGAATACGAGTGGGTTGTGAAAATGTGGTGCGTTTCTGTGAAGAAGGAGTTTTGTGTTTTTTAAATGTGCTAGGGCGTGTAACTTTATTGGATGGCCCTGTCTTTGTAGTGCATGTTGCGTTACTTGTATTTATGGTGTTTCTTTGTTCTTGAAGTTGTATTTCTGTTGTTGCATGGGTTATTGGTAGAGACATTACAGTATTTTGTGAGCCTGTGTTAAGGTTGTTGCGTTTGGGTTGAGTACGAGTGGGTTGTGTTTGTGATAACGTGGTGTGTTTCTGAGAAGAAAGAGTATTGTGTTTTTCAGCTGTGCTAGGTCGTGTGGGTGAGGGCGTCTTTGTAGTGCGTGTTGCGTTACTTGTATTTATTGCGTTTGTTTGTTCAGGAAGTTGTGTTTGTGTGGTTGGTTGAGTTAAGGTTGGAAATATTACAGTATGTTGTGTGTCATGTTGTGAGTCTAAAGTGCTGTTTAGGCTTTTGCGTTTGGGTTGAATACTAATGGGTCGTGATAATGTGGTTTGCTTCAGAGGTGAATCTCTGATTGTAGTATATGTTGTATCATTTGTTGTACTTGTTTGTTCGGTAAGTTATATTTGTGTGTTTGTTTGGGTTAGAGGTGGAGATATTACAGTATGTTGTGTACCGTGTTGTGAGCGAGTACTGTTGTTTACATGTATATACGTTGTGGATCATTTGTGTATGTAGTATCTTGTGTTATGTTTAGAAATTTACGAACAATATGGCATGTGTTGATAATGACTGCTTTTTGTAAATTTTTGTATGTGTTTTTGTCTAAACCTAATAGTTGTAAATTGTGGTGTATTGTCTTTGGTATAACTCCGGTAGCACTAAGAATAATGGGAACTATAACAGTAGATTTCATTCTCCATTGCGTCCTAAGCTCGATAGCTATATCGGTGTATTTGCGGTGTTTTTCTGCATGTGTTTTAGTTAAGTTGTTAGTGTTGGGTATGGCAATGTCTATAATACAAATGGATTTTTGTGTTTTATCTATAAGTGTAATGTCTGGTCTATTATTGTGGATAGTTTTGTCTGTGAGTAGTGTCCTGTCCCAATATAATTTGTGTGTGTTGTTTTCAAGTATGATCTGTGGCGTGTATTTGTAGTATGGTGTCTTATCTGTTATGAGATTGTGTTTAAGTGCTAATTTTTTATGTATGATTTTAACTACCTGATCGTGTCGATGTTTGTATTCAGTTTGTGCAAGTCGTGTGCATGCCGATATTATATGTTGGATTGTTTCTGATGTATTATTATTAAGGATCCTCAGATCCTTTATAGTTTTGTATTGTCGTCCGTCCGTCCGTCCGTCCGTGTGCGCTCTAACTCTTTTTAAAAGTGGCCGATTGTGTTGAAATTTGGTATACGGGTACGTTGGACATTAAGAACGGACGCTATTGATTTTCAGGAAGCTGGTTCAACAGAAACAAAAGTTATAGGACTTCGAGTGAATCGGGAACAGGAAAAACTGCGAACTCAATATAATAAAAATTAACATATTTCATTCCCTAGGTCATGTATCGAGTTCGGACTTTCGCTAGATTATTCCCTATGACTCTTAGAAGTGTAACAATTCAATATAACTCTCTCTGTGGTCTAGGTCAAAAGTTAGAGCAAAATGTACCCAAAATTATTCTTTACACATGAATTTAGAGTTGTAAAAGCTTTCAAACGCATTATCTTGATGCTGAAAGAGTTGATAACGTGCACGTTTGATAACCGCATGTGTGTGATTCAAAAATGTTAAATTATTTTTCTGAGGCCACATGGATTTTGATCAAAATATGTAAAAATCGTTAATTATGCACCAAGATCGTTGGGAAAAAGACTACGCGCATTATCTCAATGCCCAAGACATGAATTTGTGCATTTTTGGCGACCACGTGGATTTTGATCAAAACATGTCAAAATCGTTATTTATGCACCAAGATCGTTGGGAAAAGACTAGGCGCATTATCTCAATGCCCAAGACATGAATTTGATGCATTTTTGGCGACCACGTGGATTTTGATCAAAACATGTCAAAATCGTTATTTATGCACCAAGATCATTGGGAAAAAGACTAGGGGCATTATCTCAATGCCCAAGACATGAATTTGATGAATTTTTGGCGAAAACGTGGATTTTGATCAAAACATGTCAAAATCGTTATTTATGCACCAAGATCATTGGGAAAAAGACTAGGCGCATTATCTCAATTCCCAAGACATGAATTTGATGAATTTTTGGCGAAAACGTGGATTTTGATCAAAACATGTCAAAATCGTTATTTATGCACCAAGAGCGTTGGGAAAAAGACTAAGCGCATTATCTCAATGCCCAAGACATGAATTTGATAAATTTTTGGCGAAAACGTGGATTTTGATCAAAACATGTCAAAATCGTTATTTATGCACCAAGATCGTTGGGAAAAAGATCAAGAGCATTATCTCAATGATCTAGACATGAATTTGATCTATTTTTATGGACCACATGGATTTTGATCAAAACATGTCAAAATCGTTATTTATGCACCAAGATCGTTATTTATGCACCAAGATCGTTGGGAAAAAAACCAAGAGCATTATCTCAAAGCCCAAGACATGAATTTGATGCATTTTTGTTAACTATAAAATGTATTTTGTCAGATTAATAATAACAATAAATTGTCGTTAAAAGTGATTGTAATACTGAGGATCCTTCGATATTTCGTTGTATCGGTTTATTATTATTATTATTATTATGAAGCAACCAAAAAGTTGGTTCCTAAGAAGTCGGCCGCAAGGTATGAAACAGAGTACTAAGTAAGTGTTTTGCCAATTGAGGAGCGAACGTGGGGCGAAACAAGTAGAGGAAAACGTCATGTTGGCATACTGTTTGGATGCAGTAAGTTTTTGAATTGAGATTTTTTTGCCTGGGTTTCGGTGTTAAAGCGTCATGGGGCATGGAAAAGCTCATCGACGGCAGAAAAATACATCGAAGGCTCGGTAGAAGGAAAAGTTAAGATTGCCCGTATGGTACAACTGATACAAGGCGGCGAAAATTTCATTGAAGTTCTACAGCAGAAGGAATCAAACATTACTAACTCGACATCCAGTAATAACCCAGGCGTTAGTGTTGAGGGCAATACAAATTGTTTCATTCCAATCAATGTTAATGTTTGAAATAAAGAATTACAGCCAAATTTATGTTGGGGTTTTTAATTAATTGTGTGAAGATGTCAAATTTGATGTAGATATACAAATAACAGTCCGGTAAGTGTTGCTTACCGGCTCTGATGCTGTAATAACTCACCTACCGGACTCAAAATGATAGTGTAATCGAACATCTACCGGACAGTATGAAATAATACTTATTTTTTAAAGTATTTGAATACTTTTCAATGTATCTGTATCTAGTATTCGCTTGTGCTGGACGTAAAAGTATTTAGTATTCAAATACTTTTTTTAAGTATTCTGCCCAGCTCTGTACGTCAATGGGAATTAAATTATATAATGTCCTTCCCAAAAGTGTAACAGGTAAGAAAACATTAAAGAGTCTTAGGGCAGCTATAAAAGCAATTCTTTTAGTTCAAGCACCATATACTGTGGATGAGTTTTTTAACTTTTGTTTTCGAAACTAGTTTTTCTGTAATTATTTAAACGTGTTCTAGTATTTAAAATTGTGGAGTTATATACTGTGTACATTTGACGTATCTCATGCAATGGTTCACATTGTCAGAGATAATAAATAAATATTGAAATATATAAACAAAAACGAAGAAAAAATGGGAAAATGTCGTTTTTGTTCGCATTTGACTTCAACTGAAGGAAAAAATGAGGAGAAATGAATTTGTTTAGAATCGAATTTTCTATGGAGCATTCAGTTTTGAATCTTATTGTTTTTTATGGAAAAATATAAAAAAGTAATCCAGAAATTTAACAATCTATTATTATAAAGTAAAATTCATCCGATCATTTTGAAAATCCGTATTTGGTCACTTCCTTTGATAACAAAACAATATTACACACCCGATCACGATAAATTTCATAGTTATTGATTCATTAAATAAACAAATTAAACAACGATGCTGTCTTTCAAACTGGGCGACTCCCAGAGCGTTCTCAATTTTTTTATAGATGTTGGAACCCTGAGACAACCATTTTCAAAAAATTTCCCGATGATTCTTAGAAATCGACGGACTGTGGAATTTTTTTAATGGAATAACTCCCGAAATATATTTTTGAAAGTCGACTTGTGGCTAAAAATCAACAATACTGTCGTAAATAAGCTTCGACTTGAAAGATTTTTGAGTTTCTTACCAGTTTCCAATTTAAATTTTTCCGAATAGATACAATTTTATTTCAGCTTTCCACGGGGCCCTTTCCGTTATAGTTCGCAAATTACATTTCGGCGAACCGCTTTGTATATCAAAAAGCTCTGCTGCGAGTTGAAATTCAATAAAGCTCACGCGCCTGCATAAAAGCTCACCTAGAGCTATTGACCGGCCCCCCGCTCACGACCCCCTTCCCCCTCTAGCAAATCCTAAGACAAATTTTTTTTGTGATAAGCGCACAAGCGGGCGAACTTATTGACCCAATTAAAGCGAGTTTATTTACATGACGGAAATAGATTTATTACCTTGCTCCACGTGTAACAGATGGCGTAATCGTCAACTTGTGGATCAATGAATGAACTAATTTTAGATATTTATTAATAATATTGTTTACAGTTTTTTTTCCTTTGTAAAATAAGCCAAGTCTAAAAACTATAATTCTTTGGTGGTATAATTAAGGAGAGAAATTCAATGTACAATAATAAAATTAATAAATACGTTTAAACAAAGGTATATCTACAAACACTGCTAATTTAAGCGCTTAAAGACCATTGATTTACAAACAATTCTCACAATATTATTGTCTACACTTTAAAAGTTATTATTTTTTAAACAAATGTATAAAATAAGTATAGGTAATTTACAGCGATATGTATGTAGAGCTATCAATTATATATATTACTTACATAATAATAGGTATATGTGGTATCAAAACCACTCACAGAAAATGGTCACCTGCAGATTAACGGGATGTTAGTGCCTTTTTTTTTTGTTTGATAGAGCGACTGTAGGCACGGAAAACACTCGGAATAAAATTCGCCTAATTATGTGAACAAGACTAATTTCTACCAATCTAACAAGAATATTCTTTTAACTATGCTCACCCTCACCTGTGTTAGTCAAACTCGTGGACTTTGCAACGAAAACACCTCCCATAAATATAATTTTGATAAATTTATAAAACTTACATAGAAAAAATCTCTAGGCTAAGGCAGATTGTAGATCTTTTCTAAATACACTCCCCCTAAGTACAAATTCGTCGTAATTATAGTGCTCTACATAGTTCGAGTACATACATTATTTACAACTTACCCTACTTAATAAACACCAAAAAGGTAATCTAAGAGGTAACACATTGTTCTAGAGTTGTGCAATCTTCCGTATCAAATTACGTGGAGTTAAAAAGACGCGCGCAAAATTGTGGCAACACGAGACTTTTTTATAAAATTTGATAGGGGTGCTTCCACGCTCGGTTAACTCCATTTAATCATCGTGATAATACTGGACAGTCACAGTCTATTGGTAAATCATCCGTAATCAAGGGTCTCTAATGCTCAAAATAAGTATTATCGTTTATTGCACGCTATGTGATAGTTCTTCCATTGTATAACAAAGTGCCGAATAACTTAAAGAGAAACATTTATGACGACAAATAACATATTAACACCATTTTACATAAAATTACATCAAACATAACATTAAATCGTACACTTACATATTAAGTTGATATTTACATGATACATTAATAATTTAATACATCCAGGAACATTACCTTTTTTTTTGCAAAACTTTAACATGGAATGTTTCGGACTGTAATTATCACCTAAGGAGAAGCGCAATAACGAGAGAGTTAAGGTATATATGAAAATATCTCTTGCTTTATACAGTGTTGCCATGTCGAATGAAAGCCGGTATGAATCGATCCACCCTGTAGACAGAAGAAAATCCAAGAAGTTGGACCGCTCGCGTTCTTGGGTTTTCCCATCCTCGTTGAGCCTGCGGAACAAAATTGTCCAACGTTAATCATCAAAGGCGACGATTTCGTGTACGAAATGGTGCCGATCTTTACCTGTCGACACGCCTTTTTTGATCCCCATTTACGACTAGTTTGTCCCACCCGAAAAATCTAGTCGTGTGTACGCTTTATTGGTCCACTATTAGAAATAGGAGAATTAACAAACGCTGCCCTAATTGTACACGAGATCCGAACACGGTCGCCTTTACCTTATATAGCCGCCTTGGCGACGGATTTAGCTATAAAAGGAATTTCAAATTGATACTTGCAGAGACTTAATAGGACCTGTTTATCCTGATTAGCCAATTTCTTTTCACAATTATGACACCGTTTGTCGATTCCAACAAGACGGTGCGCCAGCGTACGAGTTAATTATAAACGAATTAAACTGTTACGCTTTGCTATTCTTTAAGCTAATTGGTTGATTGTATCTTTACAGCAGTTTTGGCTGCCGTAATTAGCATATTTATGTTTCATTAGCCTAAACAGTACATAATTAATTCTCGTTTTTTGAGCGGTTTATTCGATTGTAATAGTTTCACGTTATGCTCGGACGCTTATACTAAGGAAATGTTGGGCGCTATCTTCCATTACAATCGTTAATTATAGAACACGATTTTTGTTTTATAACACTTTCAAGAATTTTAAAGTACCTGCTACGAAAGTTCGGATCTTCCCCAAAAACTGTTACATGAATAGAAAAGTTCTTCAAGATTTGACATAGGTACTCGAAAATGGATCGCAAGAATTGCAATTTGGGAAGTTTTGCGATCTTGATTTAATCCACGAGATTGAGTGCACAATTTTGATGGGGATTTAAGGACTAGCAGAGTGACATTTTTTAAGGCCTCAAAGATAGGCATTGAGTAGAAATTTTTCGAATGATTTGCTTACCTTTTGTGATGGTAAAATCAACGACCTGAATTCAACAAAATCAAAACGGCGTTTTCCCCCAGGTACCTGGGTCGTCATTCGGGCCCGATTAAACACAACATAGATCTTTTACAGACGAAAAAAAAATTTATTCGATAAAATGAATCAATTAAGTTGCAAGAAAAATAGGCACTCAGGGCCAAAGTACAAATACCACGCAACAAGCGATCGATTGAAACAATTAATTAAAGAAATCTTAATTACCTTAAAGTGCTAATAATCCAAAATATCCGGTCGTAACTGTGATGACGCACAAACAAACACAAAAACCAGCTGATGTTACACACTATGATTGATTGCACTTAAATTTCGACTTAGACGACACTGGATTTGTTGTAATTTCACATGTGATTTTGACTCTTTGATGGTGGAAAGAACTCCCTTTGAGGATCTTAAAGAAAGGTTTCACATAAGCGATAACTGCTCGATAAACGCAACACTCCGACTAACTCCTTCGTAAACTTCACCTCTTTTAAACATTCACTTTAAACGGCGTAATGGAAATCTCTTAGAGCACTCTACAAAACTTTATAAGGCAAAACTGTCAATCAGCAAAACAATAAGCGGCTACGTTTCAACGTCCAAAAAAAACAAACATTAAAAAGGCAACGTTTAATGTCCACCACCAAAAGAAACGATTCACGTCTTCCTCTGCTATATATAACATTCTTCCTTCTCTCTGCCTCTCTTCTACTTGAATTTGCGTCTTCAAAATTAAAAACCTGTGTTTTCTTATCGGCGAAACCTGCTTATCTTGAAAAACAAAATGCTTATGGCAACAAATTAAAAGGCGATTATTTAAACAAAATTACATTACACCAAATATTTAAGAATTTGAAAAACAAACCTGTTTTTCCTTTCTACCTTAGAAACAATTTTGATGGTTTGTTGATATCATTTGTTGTTTGTGAGATATGAGCCCATGTTACTAAGTGATAATCTGTGATTACTTCATTAGTACGAAATTATTGTTTATTTATATCTTTCGTACATCCTTTGCTTCCATGCTCATTGTTTTTCAGCCTTGCCTATAAATGAGATTGTGTAAATAATGTTAAAGAGCAAGTAAGGATTTTTCCACGCTTTAAATACGCTTTTGATATCATCTTTCTGATTTTATCAAAATTTGGTAACTTCGGTATAATTGGAGATTGAGTATTACATTTTGGTGGGTGGTATGAGTAAAAAGCATCACTCCAAATAGTATTTATAGTTTCTAAAATGAAAATGTATCACATACGAGCACAAACTTCACTTCGTCATCGATGTTGGAACTGCTTTTAAACACAATTCAATTTGCTTATATAGCAAACGGAAACTTTGTACAGAAAATCCCGTAAAGATTTCCCTGCGAAGTCGCCATATCGCATTTACCGGAAAGAACGCGTCACGTTCGCTTCTGTTCCTTATCGCTGACGACTAATCTTTTATGGCGGTTCGATGGCGGCTGCTGGCGCTTCGATGCCTCACGTATTTTAATACGTTGTAGCGTCTTGTATGTTTTATTATTATATTATATTATATTATAATATAATATATTATATTATATAATATAATATTAAGTATATAATATTATATTATATAATATAATATTAAGTATATAATATTATATTATATAATATAATATTATATTGTATTACTACAGTATTCAACAACACTGTCCTGCTGTTAATTTTCTTCTTTAATGTTGCAATTATCTTCTTGTTACTCACGATAAAGATCCTCACTCACTTGTTTCAATTAATTGATAAAGGCCATTTAAGCCATTAACATCATGGTAGATCAAATTTCTGACGCAGGTTTTCCAGATTGACCAGCTTCTGTTTCTTGCGTTGATTGCAACAGTTATTCCATTTTTCCTGACGTGATCGGGTCACTACTGACATGAACCCCACACCTGACACCAGTGTAATTCCGCTATTTATTTATAAAAATTATCAATTTTAAATAAAAACTAACACTATTACCTAAGGACACACTAAATGCAAAGCGGTTTGATTTATAACAGTTCAATATTTATCACTTACTTGAAGTTACTTTTATAACATATCACTTCCACGTTGATGTTAACCCTGAGACTAAACATAATTCCGGGTATACGGTAAACAAATACCTTCATGAAAGATGTCTATCATATTTTACGAAAGAATGCCCTATCGCAAGCTCTTTATGAAAATAGGCATTGTGTACGTTATCTGATACAATAAATAATGAGGGTGTAACGTACGCTAATATCACAACCGTATCAGCTTAACACTTCTGACTACAAGGGGTTCGAGGAGCACACGTTTTAATTCATTCCAGAGTGCAGTGGGAGATTAATTTTGTATCGAATCTTAACACTCATTGTTGAGGATTTAATTGAATGTTGGCGAATTACGTAAGTAGCGGCCATTTTCTTTAACGAGCTGTTAATTGTCAGGATTTTTCTATTTGTTTTATATGGAGTTTGAAACAATTTATTTCTTAAACTGTTAACCTACACATTTTCTAAAGAATCGGAGGTAGGCAGGTTTTTTCTTTTAGGGCTCCAGTTCTCGTTTTGGGCTTTTTCCGCCTTGTCGTTTGTCCGTTTTAGCGATCCCTCTGTATGTATCGTTTTAAGCTGAGCGCTTCGTTACGAAAAGTGCCGTGCCGAAAGTGTTTTGTGTTAGTTTTAGTAGTTGGAGATAGAAGCTAAAGGTAAATTTAATTCTTAGAGTTGTGTTTCAGCCGCCGCCAACGTAAATAAGGCTGCAATTAATTCGCAATTTGCAACCGTTCCCGTCAAGATATTTCAATTATTTTTGATGCGTCTGAAAGCTCTTGTCATTTAGAAGATGAAAGCAAATTAATATTTTAGCATTTCAGCCACGTTAAGCCATTAGTAGCAGGTTTTTGTTTCCCATGGTAAATTAAAACAAGCAACAAGCCCATGCAGGTTTACGTCGTTATCGGATTGATAAGCGACCTTCGTGCTGAGCTGAAAAATTGCAATCGGTGTTAATTGGATACACATTTCAATCCGACTAATTAAGTAAGTGTTAAATAAACGTGTAGAGTATCAAAAGAAGCGCTCTTAATTAGTTTGAATTTTAAGACAATTAATTAAAGAAGTTTTTGGATGTATATAACCGAATAGGTACGCTGTGTCGGTTGGGAAAACCGTCGTTCCTCCATGACAGCCGAATTTTATAAAAAAGTAAAGTCGTTGTTTAGAGGGGATCTTTTCCCTTTGGGTGTTGAACCGAAACATAAGAAATCTTTTTATTTTATGCATCTTTCGTAAGTAGGTACCGTAACTTTTCCGTAAATTTATTTTGCATTCATACCGTTTAATTTTTGGTTTTACATTAAGTTTACCGCCCCGTATCTATAGCTTTTGCTTTTTCTTCAACTGTAATTTATACCGCTCCGTTTAATTGCAAGGTAAGCTTTTTGTTACTTCTCGTTTCATTTATTATAAGGGGTGATATTGTTTCGCTTTCCTGCATTTGTTTTCCCGTAGATACCGCTACCGAATACGATTAGGGCAAGCCCGTACCCTTGGTGGCGCTCGAGTCCGTCCGCCCGTCCGAGTTCGAGTTTAAATTTTGGAAGTCACTTACTTAGTTTAATTAATCTATTGATAATAATAATAATAATAATAATGTTTATTGTACTGCACCAACGTTGCGGCACAAGATGTAAACAATAGTAGGTAGTAATTGTCCATGCATAAAAACAATAATAGACACAAAAGTACATAATACAAACCATGATCGATTTGATTTTTATGGTGTTATAAATGTGAGCGGGATTGCAACACGTTAATTAACGCAGTCGTGGATCTGAATACAAGTATTTTGGCTCCTTAAGCAATCGTCATTTCAATTACCGAGTGGATTAACTCGGGTTCCTTTATTTCTTTTCTTTGTTTGTGAATTTCTGGAAGCGTCGGAACAGAGGTCTCTTCCTATGCTCTCGATTTCTTCATTAAAGTTAAGATGGTTATGAGCATTTCATTAATTTTAAAAATCATTGGATTATTTTGTTGAGAGAAATTGCAACTATTGCAACGCTTTCCTTGAATACTCCCAGTTTCATGGGAGCTGTGGAGTATTCTTGCCCTGTTATTCGTTATCATCGCCGGCCGTTTTAAAGATATTTTTAGTATCCACATTTTAAAACCAGAAGACGACCTATAGTCCATCCGTTATTACTATTCCGATATGTAATTAACCCCACTAAATGCAGCGTTAACTTTTTTTTACTTTACGTCGTCGATTTAATATAAATAATTCTCTCCTTGAAACTGCAACGCGTTATTGTTGACGTGCAGAATAAGAATGAACAAAGTAACGTACCGCAACGGTTAAGCGATTCTAGCTCGTATCGCTTACGTTAAAGAATGTTAATTGAAGTGAATTTCGCTTGCATGGCATGGCATTAAGTAGGCGTAAACAACATTGTTGTAAACAAAAACTGGATGTAAGCGAAATTCAGTCCAATTAATATTAATTGACGTAAGCAATACGATCTAGAGTCGATTAACCGTTGCGGCACCGTACTTTGTTCATTCTTATTCTGCACGTCAACAATAGCGCGTTGCAGTTTGTTTGAGAGAATTGTTTATGTTTAAATCGACGTCGTGAGGTAGAAAAAGTTAACGCTGCATTTATTGGGGTAAATTACATATCGGAACAGTAATAACAAATGGACTATAGTCGCGTTGATTGGCTAATAAACAAGTATGGGGAAGGTTTTGTGTTTCTATCTTTATTCAATTCGGCTACAAAGAAAATCTAACCTGCGGCTTGTCTGAGGGATTATGTACCTACTCTTAGTTCAATATTTACAATATAAAACAACATACAGCAAAATATTGTGCTATAAGGCACCTAAGGGTAGCTTAATGAACGAATATGGATGGTACTTGGATTAAATAAACTTTGAAAACATTTGGGCCAGCAACGATGAATTAAATTAACTTTTTGAACGTAATGTAGGTACTTTCATTGCAATAGTCAATAAGTAGGTAATGCTTTGCATACATAATTTGTACCTAAATAAATAGCCTAAATATTCATTTTATTCAAGCAGAGTCTTCCACCAACACGAAAAAGTTGGCAAATGGAGTGTTTTCAAGTTTTCGTACGCGATTACGACCGTAAAACTTGAGCTTTACGCTTCGTCCATTTAATATTAGAAAATACATAATGGAGGAGAGTTCACGAGTTTAGTAGTCCCATTGAAATTGAGGTTAAAAAAATTTACAGCGCCGCGCGCGCGCGCTCACCCTCGCCTCGGCTTTACTCCCATTAAAGTATCGATTGTTCGATGTCACATTCGAAACGAGAGGTGACCTTCTTCGTCTTCCTCTTTTTCGCATTAAAGGACGAAAATACTACACCTTTTTTCCTCGCGCTGACGTCACACTTTCGTTTTCCGCCATTTTGTCGCAAAAATTGCGCGACGGTGCCGCTAAACTCGTTATTGGATTAACCTTCGGAATAATCTAATTACTCCAGATTTTTTTTTGTAAAGCCGTTACGTACAGTCCGCCACGCCCTATCGGTGCACATAAAACGCAATTGGAACGTGTAAATAGGTCTTTTTGGTCGATCTGAGAAACAGAAACGCACCTAACCAGAACCAGAACGAAGTGCATCTTCTTCGTACCAGTTTATAGCTTGCAGCTGCAGCAGACGTTGATCTTTTTTTCTCAGTCATTGCTCTTAGAGCCAGTGTTGCGCGAAATTTATGCGGTTCACCTACCTGCGGAATTTTGTCTTATCATTTGAAGTGATAATCTGGAAACCCTGTGAATAGGCTGCTGCCGGACCTGTACGGAAAGGACCTCCATCTATCTGGAGGTGGAGGTTGCTGTTATTCGCCCGTCGCAGTCACAGTCGTCCAGTTCCAAGGATTCGCAGAACTTTTTTGACTGGAAAATAAAGTACATTTATTAGAATGTGTACTTTACAAATGATTTGCGCTTATATGTTTACAAGGCACGACAAATCGATCGCGCGGGAAATCACAAAAGTTTCGAAGACGCCTCACAAACGCCCTTGAAACCGGTGTACATTCATGTAAACGCAAATGAAAAACCAATTAACTTATGTAGGTTGTTTCCATAGCGATCGAGTACGTCACACGTCACGTTAAAAGGCTCCGACCGAACAGGTAGCGACTTTCGAAAAACATCCTGGAAATTATATTCATAAACGTTTTCAATTGTTTAATACGCGACATCCCATTTCGTGCGTATGCCTAATCGAATTTAAGGGCGATCTGTTTGTCGTCCTTTAATTCGTGCGACATTAATCGAATCTCGATAAATTAGATTACGATAATAAACATTTACGACGGTCGTGACCCAAAAAGCGCTCACTATTTTAACTTCAATTACACTTGATCTGTAATTAATGGGTCATTCGAAATCTGGTAACGTCAGGGTTGTTGCTTGGGGCTCAAGCTTAAATTTAGATCTCACAATATGTTTGTTTTTGGGATTTTTCGCACTACGGTCAACTGTACAGAGTGGTTCAAATTCGTGCCACACCATTGGAATCTCCGTATAACGGTGAGGGATACAGTGTAGGTTAAATCGGGGCAAAGTTGCCCCTTTCCGTAGCTAAAAAACGTATTTGAAATTTTTGAAAAATCTTTGAAAGTAACCGAGCTATTACCGAAAAACTGAAAATGTCAAATGTTGTTTTCGTTTTCATTGGACACTCTCATTCTGTAAAAATCCAACATGGCGCCCGTAAGAAATAAGAACGTAGGTATAATAGTAGCCTCTGTATAGCTTCTACATCTAGCGCTTTATGGAAATTCAGATAACAGATTCAGATTCTCGCAAAAATTGTCCATGGAAGGTGCTACCGAGAACCCCGTCCATTCTCGCCCATTTATAAGTTCGGGAAAATAAAAACGACATTGGACATTTTCAGTTTTTCGATGCAGATAACTCAGATTTTAAATTGCCTTTTCTTAGTGTCAAAAAAGGCGCAATTTTTCCCACAGTTAACCTATACACTGTATCAGGTGAATCTCACGATCAAACGCAGTTTAAAATTAAGCTGAGGGTAATAGAAGTATGATTCAGAACGGGTAGATTAAGTGAAACTGACGATTGTGCATTGTGCGTTCTAATGGCAACTGTCATTGTTATTTCAAATGGGACGCGAAGCACGATATGACGTTCAGAACATATGACAATGCTGTATCTATAGATACGACCGCATTGGCAGAACCTAAGCTTTCAATTTTTGACGTCAATTAATTTCAGAGTTGTTAGAAGCTGTGATAAAATAAAATTTTGTATTATACACGACGATATAAAGGGAAACTAACCATCTCGTGAAAGATAATTCACTTGTGGCTGCGCTGTCAATCAATTTTTAAAATATCCCTTTATCGTCTTAGCTTGTACAATGGCGTATAACTTTTCTTCCGGTTTCACCAGAAATATCTTCAACTTTTATCATTTAAGTGGGGGCAAGGACAACCTGTATAGTGTATACAGTGAGTTATAGGGACATCTCTTTTATTTGGCGAAATTCGAAAAAATGGTCAAATATGCGACATCACGATCTATCCGTTGGCATATTAAAATGTACGGCATCACTTCCGGTTTCAAATGCAATGCCTGATTTTTAGCGCATTTTTGAAAAAAATACGCTATTATATTCGTTATTGCTGGCAGGCCGGCTGTCCGCGTGAGATCTCCTCAACTACAATAGCTAGAGAATTCAAATTTTCACTAAAAGCTTTCTGCTATAGTGTAGATGTGCAGGCTCTAGTCTATTTTGAGTTATTACTTGTGAGATCGATAATTGAAGAAAATAATTTCGATATGGGTTTCGGAGGTGCTATAATTTTACCGTTAGATAGCGCTATCAGTATAAAAACTTATTATTTACTTTGTGATTTGTTTTTCAAAATGAAGACGTACCGTCAATTGAAATTAAATAAAATTAATTATTAAACGCAGCCAAAATTACTAGTGAGTAGTGAGATCGATAATTTTAAACTTCACTAATAAAATACTGACCTGCATTACCAAAAATGCGCTTTAATCGTGCATATGCTGATTTACAACTTGTTTTAAGAACTTTGAAAAGAGCAGTCACCTCACTGATCGACAACCTAGAATATGCATATTGATATACATTCAACATTTTTACAGTGCGAAGATTTTTCATTTATAATTTTATTATTTATTTTCCGTATTATATTATTATAAAGTTTGTAACATCCACCACAACATATGCATATGAATGGATCCATTCTATTTATGACTGATCGTCACTAAATTATATCAAATGTTGCAATTGATATTCAATTATCCGTTAAATAAAAATAACGCCAACATTTAAACGTAAAGTATGTAAGACTCACAACAATATCCGCTTCAACTTTATTCAAAGTTACACGATTTTAATTCTTTGTGGGTTAAAATGTTCCACTATTATTCGTATTTACCGTAATGAAGGATGTTATACTATATCCATTGACAAAGTTAATTAATAAATGTATTGCGAGTGGTACGTTTCCTTCCGTATTAGAAATTTCTAAAGTCGTACCATTTTTTAAAAAAGGTTGCTTGTCTGATCCTAATAACTATAGAGCTATTTCTTTGACGCCCGTGTTTAGCAAAATTTTTGAATCTGTTTTAAAACTTCAAATGGAAACTTATTTCGAGGATCATCATATAATTAGTCAATCGCAATTTGGGTTTAGAAAAGGAAAGTCTACTGCTCTGGCTGTGAGTAATTTAGCACGAACAGTTATGAAAGGATTTGAAAATAAAAAATACATTAGTTTAGCAGGTCTTGATTTTACCAAAGCATTTGACTGCGTATCACACAAAATGTTAACCGATAAACTACGAAATTATGGCTTTGGAAACAAAAGTGCACAGTTAATCCGCTCTTATTTATCAAATAGACAACAGTATGTAATTTACGATAATGGTGTTTCAAAATTGTCACAATTAAAGCACGGTGTGCCACAGGGATCTGTTTTGGGGCCCATCTTGTTCCTTATATATATGAATGATCTTCCCCATTGTGACCTATATCAAAGACACAAACCATGACACTGACGCTAAGGAAACAAAAAATCATCAATCAAAATTCAGATTTTAGGATATTGGGAGTAACGTTAGATCCACATCTGACTTGGAACAGACATGTAGCTATTCAAAGTGCTAAATTATCTAAAGCTATATTTGTTATCAGGAATCTTAAAAGAGTTGCTTCAATGGAAACTGTAATTACAGCCTATTATGGCATTTTTCATTCAATTTTATCATATGCAATTCTTGCATGGGGCCATTCGAAACATGCAAATACTTTATTTGCCTTACAACGGAAGTGTATCCGAATAATAAAAAATATCAAGTACAGAGAGTGCTGTAGGAGTGGTTTTGTTGAACTAGGTATCTTGACACTCCCTTGTACATATATACTTCAATGCCTACTCTATATTAAAGAGAACATAGTTTCACAAACTGTAAAACAGGATTTGCATAGTTTTAACACAAGGAACAAAGAACACATTTACATAACTTTTCATAGGCTCAATAAAACAAAGGATGGCGTATCATATTATGGGATGAAGTTTTATAATGCATTGCCCACGAAAACTAAAAACTTAGATTCACTATCATTCAACGCTAGTGTAAAGGAATATTTAAAACGTCGAGCATTCTACTCGCTAAACGAATTTTTGAACAATAGTTTCAATGACTTAGATTGTTAGCTCTGTTTGTGAAGATGTTGCGATTTTGTTGTTTAAATGTATATTTATTTTGTCCTTTGCCATTTTACCTAATTGTCATTTTGTCTAAGAAAATAGGTTTTAAATTTGTATTGGATTGGTAGATAATTTATGGTCAATTATGTCTGTGAAAAAATGACGTGTGAAAATACTTGTAAGTATAAATCACCAATAAAGCACACATACATAATTGTTTCTAAGTGGTAAATTAAACGTGGTTGACTTACCACATTGAACAACCCCCTATCCCAAATTACAGGTGACCGATTTATGTGCTGTGGCCGCTTGACGCTAATTTCCTCTCGCGGTTCGACGCGAATTGCCTACTTCCCACTAAGTACTTTTCTTTGTTGGTGGACACACATTTCGGAACTCTTTCTATCAATAAAACTAATTTTACTAGCGCCCCAAGCTTTCTATGCAGCAAAAAAGTTAAATGAAATTCGAATCAAATAAAATCCGTAAACGGACTCCCGTTACAGCAACTAGTACAAGAGTTCCAGCGTTTCCCGATAATCTGCTGAATGATATATTTTGATTCATGTTCGAAAAGAACGGCCAAAATTTCCGAATACACCCGAAGCGACCCACCATATAGGTACTGAAACAATTCCACTTTTTAACAAAAATACCAAGCTGCACGACCGTCCAAAGGGTTGAAAAAGCCACCCCTTAGTCCGAGGATAAATAATCAACAAAAATGCGCAGGTGCACTGCCTTCAAGGTGCCTGAAATAGCATCCAACTGCCAAATTTGTGTTACTTAGTGCCTAAATACTCCTTTTATGCATTCATATGCATATTTATATTGTTATTTCTACTTTCGTAGGAAATATGCAAAATTTATTGCTGAATGATTATTGCTGATTTCACACGAGTAAAATATTTCCCAAAATTGCAAATTGCTTTACCTGCCACAGCAGTTCAACAACACGCAACAACGCATACGATAATTCTTAAAATAAGCGCTATATAAAAGCGGAACATCTAAAAATTTAGGATAATTTCCGGATGGTTTTCATTTTTACGGTATAACTAACAACTAATATTTTTTATCTTATAGATAAAGTTCCATTTAAACAATCAAATGTATTTATAGAGTCAATTTAATACAATTATATTTAACTTTAACAACAAATTGCTACGTTTTGATTACTCTTTTTAATCTTAATGATAATTTAAATCCAGATTTAATTTAATTTCATTTGTCCAATTTAAATAACTAAATGTAGGTATTTGTGTAAATTTAGTAAAATTATACTGAACAAATTGAATTATTGTTATTAATCTGAATATCTTATATTTCATTCACGTTTATATACAGGGTGATTCCTATAGTACCTGCCACCGTTTGGGAGCGTATAGGGGGTGCCTAGGGGAGTATTTTGATATAGGACACTTGGGGTCGGAAATCTAAAATAAGGGCGCCAGAACCAAATTTATCTTCTGGAATTTCACGCCTGTATGTAGGCAACCCAACCGACCGACGTTTCGCGCGGAGCGATGCAGAGCGAGTTAGCGCGAGGAAGCGACATGGGAGGGAAGGAGGGAAAACGACAGTCAAAAGCAATAACGTTTACAAGTGTTCAACGTGGCCACCGTTGTTCTCAATGCACTTCCTACATCTAGCCAACTATTATTATACTATTGCCATAGTGTTTATTCACTTGATACGCGTCGTTGCAGACGGGATTTCGTGGGTTTAAACAAAATTCTGATCAAGTGTCAGCCACACATCGCCGCCTGAGATCGCTCCGTGTGCACCGCCGGCCGGTTGGGTTGCCTACCTACAGGCGCGAAATTCCAGAAGGTAAATTTGGCTCTGGCACCCTTATTTTAGATTTCCGACCCCAAGTGTCCTATATCAAAATACTCCCCTACGCACCACCTACACGCTCCCAAACGGTGGCAGGTACTATAGGAATCACCCTGTATATATAAAATATATTTATCGATTAAATAATTATTTTCTATTGAGCTTGAAATATAAAATATTCTCTCTTTACAAACTTCGTTAGGAGTTCTCGTCTTGATATAATTAATAGTTTGAGATTATTGTCACGTTCTAATAACAAAATTAAATTTACTGTAATTATATTTAACTTGAAATTCAAATCGTACTATTATGTTCACTTGTAGTACTGTGTAGTTGTCTAGGTATTCTAGGTGATACTTAATTTAAATTAACTGCTCTCATTTATTGGGCAAATTTAATGAAACTATATCTTCAAAGATCATTCTCTTGCTTTATATATTTAAATTTTATGCAAAACCCAAATTGTTTTATCTTCATCTCTGATATTTTTATCCTGATATTAATTAATTAAAAGCATTGGTTAACAAAATTTTTGTTTAATTAAAAATGATAATTGAATTGGCATTTAATTAATTAAATTTAATTAAATTTACCTCGAAGTGCATATCGTTCGAGGTTACCCCCAGTGTTATAAATTGTAGGTACCTATCTCGTTACCAACTTCAGAATCAACGCGAGATGAAGTGTCGAAATGTTACGAAAGTAAAGCAGCTCTAGTGGAAAGATACCGGTTTCTGGGGCGACGTGTGCACAGTAGCTAGTGTTAATTGGAAACGCAGCTGTAAACGTTAATCAAAACTAATCGTTCCAGTTTAATTTTAAAGCGCGCGCGACATATGGCGCCCGCACGCAACGTTAAGCTAGGTTAGGATTTCTATTTCGGAAAATGTACTCACTTTCCGAACAGGGGATGCCACAGGTGCTTTTGCGATTCCTGCATGTGCGACGTCATATCCTCGATGCTCGCCGTCGTGCTTCCCACTTCAGGAACGTCGTCGAATTTGAGCGACTTGCCCAAGCTGACCGGTTTCGCTTTCGCCGTCGATCCGGAGAGGTCCATCGGCTGCTGCGTGACGAATTCGCCCCTCTTGACGGCGTCGTTTGGGGTCTTGAACTTTTGACTGCCGCCGACCTGGTGCTTTTGAGCGGGGTACTTCGGGGCGGATTTCGGGTAGAGCGTCGCCTTGTCTTTGGCGTACAGCGGATTCTTCTGCGTTAGGATCGCGTTGTACTGAGGTATTTGGATGTTAGGCCTGGGGGGTGGCGGCTGGTAGGCCGACGGCAGGTTCATGTATTGGTGAGGCAGAGGAGCGGCGTGCTGATACATTGTCGCCGCCGGCGCGAATTGGCTTTTAGCGGCCGGGAATTTGTGTCCCTTCGTCTTGTCGGCGTAATCTCGATAGGGTGGCTTGCCGTTAGCGCAGAGCTGCCGCTGCTGCTGTTGGTAATTAGCGCTCTCGTGCCATATGGGAAATTCAAAGGGATTACTGCTGCTGACGTTGTTCGGGAGAGGGGGTAGTGGAAAAGTTGGATGCGGAAATCGATTGAGGGGAAACATCTGGGAAACGTCGGACATTTGATTTGAATAGGGCGGAAATGAGCTTATCATTTTGAGGAAGTCGCCGTTGCCGAACGCCATCGCGGCCACCTCGAGCTGGTGCAAGTACGGCAGCCACATCATGTTGGGGTCGTTGCAGACGTCGGGCACGCGAGGCGGCACGTCCTTAGGCGGAGGTGGCGGTTTCGGCTGCTGTTTCGCGGCGGGGGGTTTCTCGCGCTCGGCGGGCTTGAAGGGCAGGTCGGGCGGCTTTTTGCATGGAGCTGTCGGCGAAGGTTTCGCCTTTTCCGGGGCGTTGATTGTGGTCTGCTTTTTTATGATCATTTCCAGCTGCGAGATTGTGATGACTAGGATGTCGGGGTCCTGTAGCAGATGCGGGAAGGCCAAGGCTTCCGGGAGTCGGAGTTCGGGCCGTTGGTTGAGCAGTTTGGGTATCTCTTTTCCCGGTGACATTAGGATAAGGCTCAGTCTGTCTTTTGGTACCAGCATCGGATCGGGGAGATTAATGTTGGGGTCGGCGTGTAGCTGCTTTAATTGCGTGAGGGCGTCCGGTTCCATTTCTGTCGTGAGCAGCTCGAGCAGCCGTGACGACTCGTTCTTGGAGTTACGCTTGGGATCGTCCCGATTTTGTAAGGTGGCCGCGTCCAGGATTGTTCGCAAGGTGATGTCGTCGAGGCGCCCCTTTTTCGGTTCAGGCTCGCCGTCGCGGCTCGTGCTGCTGGTGCACGTGTTGATCTCTTCCGAGCAGGTGACCGTCGGGCTGGCCGATTTCCGACACTTGCCAAAGTCTAAGGGCTCGGTGAGCCTCCTCATATCGGAGTTGAGTGGGCCCTTGTGCGAACTGGAAGAGAGAAGCGATTCCAGGTAGGCGGTTTTTGTACCAGCTTGGACATCGGGCGAATGCGGAACGGCGGGTAGCCCACTCGGCTGTGGCGACTGGATCGTTTCCGAGCATCTGGACGATGGGCGCGGACTGACCGGACGCGGCGATGGGCTTCTCGGTTTTTTCTTCGGGACGCTCAAATCGGTGGGTAGCAGGTCTTCGTCGGATGACGGGATCGTAAGACACTCGACCTTTTTCGTCGTACTCAAGTCAGTCGGCCTATCGTCTGTGACCGTAGAACAAACTTGCTCCACTGTTTCGGCTAAAGTATTTTCAGGTACTTGGGTATGGGGAGTTTTTTCTTCTTCACCTTCTCTCATTATCGATTCGGCCAAATCTGTGCAGAGAGTGTCCGGACTTTGTAGCGATTGTTCCAGTCGGTTTAAGATATCGTCCATTGCTAAGTTATTTTCGTCTTCTTCATTGTAATCACAGTCTTCTTCCTCCCTTTCGCACTCGCTCTCGAATTGGTCCCCGTGCACGCTTATGCCCTCCTTACTGAGAAGCTCTAAATCCTGCTGCATGCCTTCCGACTCCCGCCATGCTTCGGTCTGTATTTGCTGGTTAAATTCTAATTCGGCCACCGCTAACAAATTGTCCAGAGGTGTAACGTCACAAACCTTTTTCGCACTGCACTCCGCGGACGGGACCTGCGCGATATAATTGTGTTCTACGGAAGTGTTTACGTTTTCATTGGAATCGTCCGCCTCCGTGGTAATTTGTTCCGGGGACGGCGAGCGCTTCCTCTGCACCTTAATTGTGTGGGACGGTAGGTGAGACTCGATGTTAACGGGCACATTCCAGGTGGGCTCTTCCGATTCATTCATCTCCTGTTCGTCGATCGCGTCATCGTCGTCGACTTGTACGGCTGTCGACTTTCTTTTCACCCTGTTGCTCTTTCGCCCCTTACGCGTTTGCTGTTTGAAGCTATCCTCCTCCTCGACGGCGGCCGGGGCCGCCGCCGCCTTTAAATTTGGCACGAGCGTCTCTGTCCGCGGAATCGCGCGCCATCCTTGCGCCGTTTTAGTCAACACAATGCGATTCCTTTTGTCGTAATCCTCGCATTTGACGTCCACGATGTGCGTATCCTCCTGACGGATCCAAACGAAAATGGGGTTAACGCGAGGGTTAACGCACTTTTCTTCCTCGACAATTTCGCGACGTTTACTCGACGACCGTTTTCGACCACCCCTGCGTTCGCGTCTTCTATCAGATTTACGATGACGCGCTGCCCTCGCTTTCCCGGACGGCGGCGCTTGCGGGGTGTCAACGTAACCACGTGACCGCCTCGCGATATCGATTAGGTCGACGGAAGGTTGAGATCCTGTCCGTCGCGGGCGCTGTTCGCCCATAACCTCCTTTTTGATTGCGCAGGGAGTGCACTCCCTTAGATCGTTGTTGCACGATGGACTTTTGCGAAGAGCTGATATAGGTATAAGACCCGGCACGGGAGGCAGAGAGCCGTAGCTCATTGCACTCAACCACGCTCTTTGTACATTCCACTTCTCTAAGCAAACCCTGCACCGACGCGCACATGCAGAAAAGTCACTTCCCTACAGCACCACAAAACGCGATCGCGAACCAACACATCTAACAAGCATAAAAAACAAACGTTAACACAAACCGGGTCGCAACATAGTAACACAGTAACATTTCTACATAACTCAACACTCAAACTGACAACACGATGAAGCAAGTGCTTCTGCTCACTACGAGAATTTTTACGAGAACAGCCGAACGACGAAACGAAAGTACGCGACGCCGACCTTGACGTCACTTTGTTGGCCCGTAGGTGGGATTCCGTCAGCGGACGCCCGCCTCGGAACACGCCCACAACCCTTGTGCTCCCTTTTTTACGTAACATTGCTCAACGCACCCGGGAGGCGGCGAACCTCGCGGACGTGAACGCAACTAAAATGTATTGAGTAGTAACCTTGACTTTATGCATGCACTACACACATTCGTCGTTCTCGTTCTCACCCTTCCCTCCATACAAATTCGTGTACAGTCTGTTGTCGCTCTCTAAATGGAAACGTTTCAAATTAGGTTAAAATGAGAATTTCGTCCTTTACAAAGTTACCTAAATTCCCAACGTTATGTAAAACGTGTTCCAGATTAGGTACCTGATAACGTGCTACCTATTACATATTCATTGCAAATAAATGCAACGTTTTGTACTTTGATGAAAATGTTTACATTAGAGTTTGTGGTTTTTGGGTTCAGTGCACATAGTGTAAATTTTCAGGTACCAATAGATGGCAATTATTTGATATCTGAATTTTAACTGTAGGATCACCAAATGCATTATATAATTTTATATAATGTTTGAATATTACATTGTAAAATTCATATAATTTCTATTTACTTACACGTATCTACTTAGTGTGGGATATAGTCATGTAAATTTGTTCCATTAGGTAGTATTTCTGTATTTTTACACATGAAACGCTTTTGATGTAGTTTTATTTCTGTATACGTAACAAATATTTACGCCTTTTACATTAAATGTACATCATATTTGTTCCCATGTTTCTATTATCTTCTTCGTCCATTTTTCTCTTCTTCCACCCTCGGGCCCTCGCTCAGTACTTCTTTTCTGCTTTACGTTGTTCTTCGCACCTCTTTTCTTCCTTTTCTCTCACACATTTGTTCTTCTCTCCAGGTCTCCTTTCCTCTAACCCCGTTTCTGCATCGGAATCTCGCTATTAGTTTGATTTGAAGTTTTTCGTTTCTTCCCTTAGATATTTGGGCACCCCTTCCGCTATTAGCACCTTCTGTTTCCTTGTGAATTCTCGATTTTCTCTCTTTGTTACTGCACTTGATCCCTTTTTGTAAGTTCTGCTTCCGTTTGGTCCCAATAGCCATTTGTAATACCTTCTGTTTATTCCACATTCCTTATATCCCCACATCTTCTTTCCATACACCAACACCCCTCTTACCATTGCATCAAAAATGTGTTTTTTTCTCACTGCTACTTCTTCCTTTTTTGTAAATTCCGCGCTACTTCGTTGCATCTGGTAGGTATATAATAAATATTTAAAGTATCTTGGATCTTACTTCCTTCCTCCTTTCCAATTCCAAATCTTATCATCTTCCATTTTTCGACATTATAACTCTATTTCCCTTCCTTCGAAATACTTGTTCAATTTTCCTGCATGATTTCCTTCACCTGATCTACCTCTGTTGCCATTATTACTGCCAGGGACCATATCTTCTTTTTTCCCCACTACGATTCCTCCACTTTGACCGTGTCTCAATATTTTCGCCATTCTCATTTGTGGTCATCCCTGTCTCAGTCCTTTTATCGTCCAGAAGACTCCTTCCCTATACTTCTTGTCTCTCCATATAACTCCTTGAGTCTGTTCTTGAAATTATTAAATCAACTTTCCCATCCTCCATCACTTTCCATCCTATTTTACTTTCTCAAACGCTGCCTTTAGTCCATGAAATGGGCTAACATCATCTTCTCTTTTATATAACCAATATATTATCCTCAATTTTCATGTATGTAGGTAACATAAATATCTATCCCATATAAGTCGAACAGCTATACATACATAGTTTTCTGAAAATGAAATACATAATACCTACAGTCCACTGTAAAACCAAAAGGCGTGTACCTACACTACGAGAAACATTTTCGCGAAGTATTTTCACACATCAGTCTAAAGGCAGCTTAAAGCATTTGAAAATTCGTAGTACTTCCGACGTCCCATTCACCCGCAGAATTGTACCTAAAATTGTTATTTACACGACCCCGGTAGGCACATGTGGGTGCAGTTTCCAAAAGAAATATTTCCAAAATTTTAAAGTGTAGCATGAGAATTCGATTTTATACTTTCTACGGGCGCCTTTGATATACTTAGTGATTAATAAGTGAAACCAGTGGTATGTAATGCCCTAGCTAGAGCAAGCATTAAAATTGCGCCCCCTTGTAAATTCCCTTAATTAATATATAACAATGATACGAAGAATCGCATACGATTTTCAGTAGGGGAATTTTTTGTGCACCGCTCGAACCTAATTAAAACAGCTCGCTTTGGGAAACGCGACTTTTAATCCGATTCTGATCTTTGAACTCGTAGAAATCGATTTGCGAAGGTTTGATATCGGTGTTTCTTTTCGTTCTGGAGTTAGACGAGGAATAAGCAGACGGACTAAACCATGACATAAGGGGAATCTTTTCTTTCAAAAAATTTCCCTACACGCAGATAGAGTCTAGGCGATAAAGACATCTAACTGGACATTTTGAAGTGGACAATTGGTGGAATATGTTCAGTTAGGTGTCAGAAACAACATATTAAAAAATCCCACCCCCCAGACCTTGTGCTAAAGGCGCCAGCCACCCCATCATCCCCCAGACACCGTGTTTTCGCCGTTTTTGGATGATATCTCGCGATCCATGAGGTCTAGATGAAATATCTTTTGCTGAAAACATTTCTCGTGAAATTTCATACCATGCAGGTAACAGAAGAGTTGGCGTAAAGTCACCTTTCACCTTCAACTTTCATGTGTGAGAAAATATTCATTGTAAAACAAAGTATTTCTATGTACCATTTATTCACGTAAAAACAGTATTTTCATATCAAAATATTCACACATTCATATATATCTCAACGTAATAATTCTCCTCCGCGGATTCCACTTGTTCAGGCTCTTCGACGTCCTCTAGTGGTAGTGGGTCGACTGAAATTACCGACTTGTAGTTCTCCTCATCTTCCGCTTTACCTGCATGGGTACCCTGAAGAGAGGACGTGGCATAGGCACGATTTTTCATGACACTGGACGCAGAGTTCGTTACACTTCAGACCTACAACAAGAAGCATTACCTTTGTTAAAAAAATTTTTATAATTCTCATGTGCCCATTTGTATAATACCTTCTTTGTGTCTTCTAGTTCATCCCATTAGCTCTATCCCCATATCTTCATTCCATACATTAATACCCCTTGCATAAAAAAGGTTTATTATGAACTCGTTTTTGAATTTCCTTTCCCTTACTCTCCACACCTGTCTCACCACCACTTCTCCCTTTTTGGTTAATTCCCATATTTGTACGTTTGGCCCATTATTTCATAGGATCTGGCATACTACGAGACTCTGAGGCGTTGTAGTGTTGTTTGAGGTAGGATTAGAGATAATCAACTTTCTCGTAATTTAAATTCTCTTCCTTCATCTATACTCTTTTCTCCCCCAGTTTTATCTACTCCCCCTTTTCTTCTTCACTCCTCCCCAAACCGGGTCGTTAGCATTACAAATTTACGCGGAGCTTGGCCATGGAAATGATTTTTGCGACAATGGTTGCCATGGATTTTAAGCTACGCTTAAGTTAAGCTTAAGTTTGTCGGTGCAAACGGCCATTAATTCCATTTCTTTTGTTGATCTAGTATCCCTCCATCATGTTCTTGATCTCTCAGCGTATATGCCATAGACCATCTCTTCCTTCTTCCCAGTTCGTTTCCTCCACTTTGATTGATACAAAATGTATGAGAATTCGATTTTATACTCTCTACAGTGATCAATAGACAATATGTGAAACAAATGAATTGAAACTCACTACCAGGACATTACCAGTGCCCAAATATTGACCATAAGCATTAACATATTCGTATTTGAAGTCTTGACTTAAGCGCCTCGTTTTAACATTTTCCTCTTGTGAGTAGGTACTTTAGTGAGTTCAGGCACGTCTCGTCCAGCTCTTCCACTTTAACTTTGTGAGTAACCTTTTGGACCATTTTGGGAGACAAAACTTTTTCAGTTAGAACAGCAATTTTATCTTTTATCTTTATCTCTTACTGCAAGGCAATGATACCTTCAGTAGGGGTGTCGAGTTAGGGAAAATAATTGTTTTGAGCTTCTTCGGTGCATTCGGTACGAAAATAAAAAGAAAAAGATTCACCAAATTAAACCATCACCAATTGCATCATTTAAAGCAGTTTTTGATAATGATTACCACCAACGTGGATTTGATCCCATCAAAAGGGAATGCCAGCTCTAATTGATTTGCATTGGTTTTCGTTACCATTATAAGAGAAGAATTCGTCTCGCGGCCATCAAGTTGCACTTAACAATGCTCGGGGCAAGACATGAATTATTAACGAGAAAAATGACAAAAGGGGTCTAAAGTTAATTATTCTAAGCGGTTTTATGGCGTGTTGTTGAACTTTACCCCATCGATCTACATTCTTCGTTGATAAGACGATGTTCTTATCTGACTAAATTACTGCACTTTATCTACCTGGGTCCTTTAGACGGGCTTGTTTGTCTCTTGTTAGTATATTTACTTAGGACACATCCCACAGATGATGCAACGGTATTTCGGAGACATGAAAAGCATAAATTTCATGAGGGAATGAAATAACATGTCTCAATTGTAAGTATACCTACCCTCTTCCGACACTTTGTTCTCAGAGCTGGGCAGAATACTTTCAAAAAGTATTTGAATACTAAACAGTAAATACTTTACACAAATCAAAGGTATTTGAATAGGTACTTTTACGTCCAGCACAAGCGAATACTAGATACAGATAATGTCCATGAACTTGGCAGGCCTACTACAGCAGACCATGGTTCTGTTTACTCATATCGTTAGTGTTCCGTTAGTGCACGTTAGTGCCGCTGAAGAAATCGTTAGTGCACTAAAGGAAACTTACTATATTTAAAAAATATTTGTGGGCCTGCTAACTTCATGCCAGCAGACCCATTTAAGAAAATCGATGCAATCTTTACACTAGTTAAACTAGGAGCGTTAGTGCTCGTTAGT